CAGTTGTTAAGCGTCTGCCTTCGGCTCAGGTCATGATCCCAGGGTCCTGGGATCGAGTCCCACATCGGGCTCCCTGCTCGGCAAGAAGCCTGCTTCTCCCTCTCCCATTCCCCCTGCTTGTGTTACTGCTCTCGCTATCTCTCTCTCTGTCAAATAAATAAATAAAATATTTTTAAAAAATAAAAAAATAAAAATAAATAAATAAATAAAAGGCTTCTTCTGCACAGCAAAGGAAACAATCCATAAAACTAAAAGGCAATCTTCGGAATGGGAGAAGATATTTGTAAATGACCTATCTAATAAAGGGGTAGTACCCCAAATCTATAAAGAACTTATCAAACTTAACACCCAAAGAACAAATAATCCATTTCAAAAATGGGAAGACATGAATGACATTTTTCCAAAGAAGACATACAGATCACCAACAAACACATGAAAAAATGCACAACATCACTCATCATCCGGGAAATACAAATCAAAACTACAATGAGATATCACCTCATACCAGTCAGAATGGCTAAAATTAACAACACAGGAAACAATAGATGTTGGCAAGGATACAGAGAAAGGGGAACCCTTTTACACAGTTGGTGGGAATGTAAAATGGGGCAGCCACTCTGGAAGCAGTATGGAGGTTCCTCAAAAATTAAAACTAGAACTATCCTACCATCCAGCAATTGCACTACTAGGTATTTACCCAAAGGATATAAAAATACTAATTAGAAGGGATACATGCACCCCAATATTTATAGCAACACTATCAACAATAGCCAAATTATGGAAAGAGCCCAAATGTCCATCGACTGATGAGTGGATAAAGAAGATGTGATACACACACACACACACAATGGAATCTTAGACATAAAAAAGAATGAAATCTTGCCATTTGCAATGACAAGGATGGAGCTAAAAAGTATTATGCTAAGTGAAATAAGTCTGTCAGAGAAAGACAAACAGCACATGATTTCACTCATATGTGGAATTTAAGAAACAAAACAAATGAACATAGGGGCAAAAAAGAAAGAGAAAGTGAGGCAAACCAAGAAACAGACTCTTAAGGAAGAGAACAAACTGATGATTACCAGAGGGAAGGTAGGTGAAGGGATGGGTTAGGTGATGGGCATTAAGGAGGACACTTGTGATGAGCACCAGGTGTTGTAAGTGCTGAATCACTGAATTCTACACCTGAAACTAATATTACACTGTACGTTAACTGGAATTTAAATAAAAACTTGAGGAAAATCAATAAACATTAATTTTTAAGAAATAAATAATTTTTTTAAAAGTCAGGGGTATAAAAAATTATACAAACATCTATTATGGACTGTATATATTCAAATAATTCATGAAATAATCTCTCTATGCAAGAAAATACTAAATATGGCTTCAAATAAAGGAATATATAAACAGCAATTATGAAAGAAGCCAGACCAAAATACCCCAAGCAAAAAAGAAAAGAAAAAATTAAAGCAGAGAATACTCCAAACTAAGTTTCTACAAATGAATCACTTTTCAATGTTTTAAGTACACTGTAGTTTACAAAAGAAAAATTTTATTTTACTCTAAAAATCTAGAAAGACCCACTTTATTTATTTAAAATGTCTAACGGAATGTTAGTTCTTTTTCCACCTAACAAAGAGGGGGTCTACTCATGGCTTTAGGTTATATTATCCATTTATTCAAAGTGGAAAAACTACAAGTAGAAAGTACAAAGTGGAAAAACTAATCTTGAATGATAATACCTCATTCACTCATATGAAAGGGCTCATAATGGAAGGAGTTAATACAATGGTTTTCAAATTATGTCCCTGGTTATGTCTGACAGAGGAACTCTTCTATATTTTATTTATTAGACTTTTGAATAAAATTTTGTTTGCACAGGAATTTTATTCGTAAAAACAGTTTTTAGTTTGAAAACCCATCACCTTAAGGCTAAAGTAAAATCCTATTCAAGCCTTAGCAAGAGAAATTGGGATATTTAGGCTATAACCAGGCCAGGCAAAAGTTCTTTTTGAAAACAACACACAACTACTTGGTAATAAGGATTCTAAAACTGCACACCATATTTTAATGTTCTCAACTATACACTAAAATTAGAAGCAGTAAACATATTAGAAATATTTCAGGCCTTTAAACCACACAGTATAAGTTGAAATTCAAGCTCTGTCACTGACTAGCTATGTATTCTTGGTTTATTTAATTAACTTCTCTGAGCCTCAGTTTTCTCTTTTGTAAAATAAGTTATAATGCCTTATTTTACAGAACTGTTTTAAGATCAAATAAGATAATGTATTTGAAGCACTCAACACAGTATTTGACACATAGAAACAAATCAGTAATAAATGACAACTATTATCATTACTAAAAATATATTTTGTATCTTAACTTACTTTTAAAAAGCACCCACACAACATCTGGCACATAGAAAGCATTCAACAATAAATGACAGCTATTATCATTACTAACGAAATACTTTATATCTTAACTTACTTTAGAGGAAAAAAAATTCTAATAGATTCACCTGTCAGCTTTTTAATAAGAGGAAACATGCCAGAAAAACAGAGTATTATACTAGTTGGTTCCTCTGTTTCATTCTGTGAAAGAACATAAAAATATTTTTTTTTCCATCTACAAGGCATGTGATTATTGATGGCTATAATATGGGTACTTGGAAAAGATTTGTGTAATCATAATAGCATTTTTTTTTAAAGATTTTATTCATTTATTTGACAGAGAGAGAGAACAAGTAGGGGGAGCAGCAGGAAGAGGGAGAGGGAGAAGCAGGCTCCCTGCTGAGCAGGGAGCCCAACTCAGGACTCAATCACAGGACCCCAGGATCATGACCTGAGCCGAAGGCACTTAACTGACTGGGCCACCCAGGTGCCCCTCACAGCAGTCTTTTTTTTTTTTTTTTTTCACAGTAGCAGTCTTGTGAGATGCTTAGGTTACTTGAAAAGCCAATGAATGCTGATATTTTGATTAAGCATCTGCTTATATAATATAACAGGCTGGACAGTAGAAACAGTTTATACTATAAGAACTTTAATGTAAGAAATAAAATCCCTCTGCATTTAAGAATTTTATTTATTTATAAAGATTTTATTTATATATTTGAGAGGGAGCAGAGAGAGAGAGAGCACATGAGTTTTTGGGGGGGAGGGGCAGAAGGAGAAGCAGACTCCAGGCTGAGCGCAGGGAGCCCTGGCTGGGCTGGATCATAGGACCCTGGGGTCATGACCTGAGCCAAGGCGGTCTTTTAACCAACTGAGCCACTCAGGCGCCTACTCAGGTGCCTCCATTTAAGGGTTTTAAATTCTGACCCTTTATTCATCCCTGTCGTCTTTGGTTTGTGTTGTTTTCTACACTGAACAGGGCTCTCTCTCTGCCAGTAAAAATCCTTTCAAATACAAGCTCAAATCCAGTCTTCTGCAAATATCCGTGATCATTGGACAGTGGTCAGTTAATCATGCTACTGAACATAAAGCACATATTATGATTCATACCAACTGTTGTCAAGTCCTTTAAAGTTCATAATGCATTTTCACATTTTATTTATCTTATTTGTGCCTCAAAAAGCCCTGACTAAAGTAGAGTGAGAATTAAAATTTTATCTCCCAATGGCTGACTCCAGGCCTGGAGAATGAATGCATTAAATAAGAAAAATAAAATCTCCATTTTAACAATATGAGAAGACCGAAGTGTAAAGACTTAATGAAGACTACAAAAATCTTAAGAACAGCAGTTCAAATCTACATCTTCTTCATCACCCTACTTACTGCTCAGGTTAATGTCTCTCTCCACAGCAGAAAACTTAGAGGTAGAGCAGGAGTCATTGCCTTTACTCCCAAGAAGTTTTAAGAATTCAGACTTTTTCTATTAATAAAGTCCTTGTGTTTTGTAAAACCAAACTTAAGACAACAATTTTTCTCCTTGTTTCTTTTGGTTCTTACCTATTTTCCTAACTAGATTTTGTAAGTATTTAAGTGACACCCAAAGAAGTGACTATCAACTAAATATTATCTAAATGGAAAAACATTTTAGGCACTAATATTAGAATAAAAAAATTGGGGGAGGGTTTGGTAGATTCTCCACACTGATTTGTTAGTAAATAATCTAAAAATTCCCCCCAAATCTTGTTTATCTCTGTTTTGTCAAATATTTGAAATATACCAAAACTGCTAATATACAAAGCGTAATTGCCTTGATTAGAGAGAATTTTCAATTAGATGAAATTCTTTCATAGCACACTATTTTAGGTTAATGAAGAACTATGTTTCAGTATACAAAGAACTTTAATTCTACCTTAACAGGGAAATTTCATATTCCTCCAATGGGCATTTACTGAGTAATGGCTATATACAAATTTACTGTGCCACTTTATAACAGCACTCTATAATCATATGTAACTACACTAAAGCCTCTACTGAATAGAAAGACACTAATCTAATTAGGAAATCATTTGTAACCACATACTTTTACACACTATAGTCATAAAAACTAATACTTCTTTTAACAGAGTATTTAGGATATCAAAGACTGCTATAACTTACAGAAGTTATTTTGATTTTTCAGCCCATTTTTAGTGCCAAGTGAGAACAAATTCAAAGCTGGTTAGCCTACTTAATTAACAGGAAAAAATAAAACATCTTATTATTTTTAAAATATATTTTTATTTAAATTCAATTAACTAACATATAGAATATTATTAGTTTCAGAGGTAGAGTTCAGTGATTCATCAGTCTTATGTAACACCCAGTGTTTATTACATCACGTGCCCTTCTTACTGTCCATCTTATTATTAAATAAGATTTTATTTAAAATCACCCAAGGGGGGAAAAAAAGTCACCAAGAAAGTCATTCAAGAACTGTTAATACCATTCCACTTAACACTGTATGAAAAACTTAACATGAAGGCATGAACTTGAAAACAGAAAGTCAATTCCGTATACATACTCATCAACTTTCTTCTTATAATTTTTTTTAAAAGTGCTAAAACCAACCTGGTATAGAAAGTGTTGGTCCCCCTTGGTAATGTGATGATCCTGTATCCTGGGTCAAGTCAAACAGTAACTCTGAAGAATTATTAGACACAACTCGTGATGAGTTCGTTATATAACCCTGTTAAAATATTTCAAAGGAAGAATGTTACATTTACTCACCACAGTTACAATTATTTTGTTTCATAAGCTTTTATAAAGGTAAATTTAAGTGTATGTCAGTATTATAACTTTGATGACTCAGTAATTAACAAGTTATAAAACACAGAGGTAATTATTACTATCTGTCAAAATCATCATCTACTAAAACTGAAAGCAAGCTCTTACAGCTGGTTTGTTCCTAACTAGCCAATTAAAACAGGGCAAATTCTAGTCTTTTTTTTTTTTCAAGAGAAAGGAAACATATATACCCATTTTAAATCAGCAGGATTGATACACTCTAGAGAGCTACTAAAAATGCAGTATTCCCATCAAAGAGCAAACAGTAAAACTTCGCAAAATCTATGGGTAAGAGGAAAAAAACAGGAAAACATACTGACTTAAGTACAAATTTAAAAGCATCTGTATCTCTATAAGCCCCCCAGACAAAATATCAGGGCAAACAAATTGGGAATCAATCTGCAATACTGTGCATCAGGATTAGGGATGAATATAGCACATGATTTGAGTTTTAGAATCATCTTTATTGGAAAAATTTATAAGGCAAGGGTCAGGAAAAGAAAGAATGCCCCCCCGCCCCACTCCTCCTGCTATTCCAAATAAAGCCATGCAAGATTGGGATAATCTCCCATCTCAAAGAGCAAATATGAAAGCTGCCTGATCAACAGGGTAAACCCCAATAAGAAAGCCAGGCAAATGGGTTAGAATGAAAGCTATTTATAGGAATAATCTGGGACAGCTGCTCTGCTCCTGGAAGCCTTAGGGCTCAAGAGAAATTTTAGCCTTTCTGTCAGGAGAAAAGATGGTCCCAGAGAAGATGATCTCAAGAAGAGTGAAAAGTATGAGATGAATGATAATGTGCTCAAGAATTAGGTAGTATAAATTTGTGTTAGCACATATAGATATTTAGTATAATTATGAAAAGTGTGATCAATTTAAGGATGTATAGCCAATACTATTACATATTAAATATACTGACACACTCACAAAATATATTCCAATTCTATTTTTAAAAGACCATCGTTGTAGAGTAAGCACTCAGAGTGAATTCTGGACCATTCTATATGTCATAATATACAACAAGCAAAAGTTTCAGGATTAACAATGCTTAAAAGTCAAAAGGGAGGGTCGCCTGGGTGGCTCAGTCATTAAGCGTCTGCCTTCGTCTCAGGTCATGATCCCAAGGTCCCGGGATCAAACCCCGCATCAGGGTCCCTGCTTGGCGGGAAGCCTGCTTCTCCCTCTCCCACTCCCCTGCTAGTGTTCCCTCTCTCACTGTGTCTCTCTCTGTCAAATAAATAAAATCTTAAATAAAAAAAAAATCAAAAGGGAAACAGTCACCTTAAGAGAAAAATGGGCAAAGGCTATAAACTGAGACACTTCAAAAGCAAAATACAAATGACCGATACATAAAAAAACTCTTTCCAACTTACTAGTCAAAGAAATGCAAATAAAGACAGGGGCAATTTTTAACTACTGAACTGGCACTGTTTTAAAGATAATAATATGTAATACAAAATAACTGGATACTCCTCTTAAAAGTATTCAAGTCGTGAAAAGAAAGAATGAGTACAGAAAAATATAAGACTAAGAAGAAAAAACTAACTGTAAAGTGTGATCCTGAATAGGACTCTGGGAATGAAAACTGGCATTAATTGAAAAACTGGTAAAATTCAATTAAGGTTTGAAGTGTAATGTTAATTACCTGATTATGATGCATAAAATGTTAGCATTAGGGGAAACTAGGTTAGGCATATATAAGAACCTCTGTATTATTTTTCTTCTAAGTCTAAAATTAGCTTGAAATAAAAATTTAAAAATTAAAAAGTAATAACATTCACTATTGGTAATAGTAAATATTGGTTATATTTTGGTACAACATTTTTGCATGAATATGTTGGCAGCAGCTATCAAAGGCTTTATTAAGTTCACATCGTTTGGTCCAATTATTCCACTTTCAAAATTTATGATAAGGAAATGAAGATGTTTAATGAGAATTCTTTTTAATAAGAAATAATTAAAATCTGTATGTCCAACAAAAGAATGGTTAAATAAATTATGATAGACTATCATGCAAACACTAATACTATGTTTTTGAGAAATATCCAAAGGCATAAACCCAGTAGAATGTTCAGAGAAAAAAGAGGAATACATATTTGTATACATAGTATGGTCCTGATTTATATACTCTATAGTATGCTGCAGGGGGGGGGGAAATTCAAAATATAGTATGTACCCTTCTCTCTTTCTAAACTTCTCTCCAAAATAAATATTAAAGATAGAAACACAAAGGTTTTATTTGGTTTGTGCTTATTAACTAAGGGATAATTAAGTTTTCAGAATTTTGGTTTGCTACTAACTTTTCTATTGACATTGGTGTGTTAAGTTATGGAAACAAAATCAATGAAGGGAGTATAAACTTTCAGTTATGGAATAAATTAGTCATGGGGATGGAACGTACAGCATGGTGACTATAGATAATAATACCGTATTGCATATTTGAAAGTTTCTAAGTGTAGATCTTAAAATTTCTCATCACAAGAAAAAAATTCTGTAACTACATATGGTGATATAGATGTTAACTACATTGCGGTGAACATTTTGCAATATAAATAAATATCAAATCATTATGTTATACAACTGAAATTAACATAATGTTGAATGTCAATTATACCTCAATAATAAACGTTTAAAATTTTAAAGAGATGAGCTTTCCTCACCACACTGCATAAATTGCAGAATAAATAAAATACCAAATAAGTAAATAGTTGTTGTTTAAACAAAAAAGAAGTTATGGAAATAGGTATCGAAGTAACTCAAACCACTTCTAGAATCTGAGGCCTAACAAACCAAAATCTGCATTTGAACCTTAACATGTAATATAAAAAAAGCGTAACCATGCTCAATCTTATTTCATAATAAATATTTTCTCCAAATATTTGCACTTAAAAAATGGAAAATATTCACTTGTATTTTCCAAAATAGTTCTTTAACAGAAATATAAAGTTAACACTCAACACTTTATTAGGAAACAACTCTGGTTAATTAAGCTCCGGAATTTCAGCGAGCAGGCACACATTGTTCAACAATAACTGGTTAAAATAATTCTCCAAGAGTGAAAATATAAAAAGTTCAGAAAGATATCAAATACAATAATAAGGGTAGAATAGACATCAGACTGGGATTCAGAAGACCAGCACATTTAACTATATACCTTGGACAAGTCACTTCTGAGCTTCAAGTTATTCACCTTTCAAACTGAAATAATAGTCACAATTGTTTTAAATGTACTCGTACTTCATGATTCATGTATGTATTAAATCAAATAGTTGTCACATTACTAATAAAAAACTAATATTATACCCTATTTTATAAATAGGTAAACTAAGGTTAGGTGTAGTTATATAAGGCTCCCAATACAGTCCTGCTTGTTATTGATGGAGCTATAATGAGAACCCAGAGCCTGACTGATTCCAAAGCTATACCCTTAAGCTAGATCACAATGACTTTACTATAAGTGATAATAATATATCCCTGCTATCTGTGAGAGTTCTGAAAGAGATGTTGAAGTATAGAGATATTCCATGAAAAAGTAAACACACACACACACACACACGACATAAAATGAAAAACTGTAATTATAATTTATTAAAAGCAGTGGCTTCCAAAATTCAGAGTAAATGCCCTTAAATAGGAGTCTCAATTCATCCCAGAATATGTCTGTCATTCTTAACTTTGCACATTAGAATGACTTGAAGAATTTTTTTTACAATACACCATTTCCAGGACCCACCCAGACCAACTGGCACAACCTCGCCTTTTAAAAACTTAACCAAGATTGGTAAACACCAATTGAGGTGTTTTGATTTTAAAACTATATGCAACTAATGAATCGTTGAACACTACATCAGAAAACACTAATGATGTACTATATATTGGCTAACTGAAAATAATAAAAAATGAATAAATAAAACTATGCCCAGAGAAATAAACATCTCAGAAATAGTTCTAGTTTCTAACTTTTAAACCCCAAAGATACACACTTTCCCTTTGTTGTTTTTGTTTTTTTTTCTCACTGGGTCCAATGTTGGAAAGATTTTTATTTATCAAACTGAATTAAATAGTAAAGTTTCTTTTTCCAGTTTTCTATCCTGCAAAAGCCACAACTTATGAAAAGTACACTGAATTAATTTGATTCCAACTAATAGCAAAAGATCTTTACATTTTAAGTAGGTTTCCATCTTTTGAAATATTAGGAATAACCTGCAGAACCTCAGAATCCAAGCTTGAGAGTCAGTGGTCTGGGTATAATATCTCATTTTAGAAATGAAGAAAATGAGGCTCAGAGAGGTTTCAACAATGCTTATTAAACAAGGCTGAATCAGCATTCAAGTCTCTTGCTTCAATCTAAGTTTTTTAAACTACTGGTCCAGGGCTTATATCACTATTAGTTATTATTTCAGATAGTTATTATCTCAAGTAATAACAACTCAGGGAGAGAGAAACATTTGCCTAAACCTATTCTTTTATGATACACACATCTTCAAAATATAAGTGGGAGTTGAATTTACTTAGCCATAGATTTAAAAATCTGTAGCCTTCCTTTTCATTGTTAAATAAATTACAATTAAAATAACTCTTCTATGAAAAATAACACCTCAAAATATCAGTTTTTAGTGCTAACACATCTGCAGATTACCTAATAGTAATATGATATGAAATACAGGAAAAATGGATTATTCCTACAAAAATATTTGGATTCAATTCTGGTTTTGAACTTGAATATTTGCAAGAAAATTTACAGGTGCTTTGGGAGACAATAACGGAATTACTGTCAAAAGAACAAACATTTTCATTAAAATTTATTATTTCTCTAAAGCCAGTGCCAAATAGCTTACGATAAGCATGACAAAACCACTGAGTTAATTCAATTCCAACTAATAGCAAAGAATCTTTACATTTGGGATAACTTTTTCTTTGAGTACTCTAACTCCTTGGCTTCAGGACCCCTTTACACATTTAAAAATTATGGAGGACCCAAAAGAATTTTTATTTATTTGGGTTATATCTATTGATATTTACCATATTAGAAATTAAAACAGAGAAATTTTAAAAATATTTATTTGAAGTAACAATAATAAACCCATTACAGATTAACATAAATAACATTTTTATGAAAAGTGACTATCTTGCAAACAAACACAAAAAAATTAGCAAAAACAGTGGTACTGTTTTACATTTCTGAAAATCTCTTTAATATCTAGCTTAATCAAAAAGTGTTGCAGTTTCCTATCTGCTTCCGCCTTCAATTTGTTAGGACATGTTATTTTGCTTGAAAAATATAGAGAAAATCTGGCTTCATAAAGATATATAGTGGAAAAAGGGAGTAGTATTTTAATAGCAATTTAGGATAACTATGGATATACTTCTTTGATACTACACCAAAATTCAACAGTTGGTATTTTCTTTTTTTTTTTTTTTAAGATTTTATTTATTTATTTGAGAGAGAGAATGAGATAGAGAGAGAAAGCATGAGAGGGGGGAGGGTCAGAGGGAAAAGCAGACTCCCTGCTGAGCAGGGAGCCCAATGTGGGACTCGATCCCGGGACTCCAGGATCATGACCTGAGCCGAAGGCAGTCGCTTAACCAACTGAGCCACCCAGGCGCCCCAACAGTTGGTATTTTCTTAAGGGTTTACTGTAATGTGGCATCTGACTTCCTAATTACTAAACTTTTTGTACTTTGTTACATTAAAATCTATTGGTCAGTCTCACACTTTGAATGGATCTTTTTTTTTTTTTTTTTAAGATTTTATTTATTTGAGAGAGAGCATGAGAGAAAGGAGGGTCAGAGGGAGAAGCAGATTCCTTGCTGAGCAGGGAGCCCGATGTGGGACTCGATCCTGGGACTCCAGGATCATGACCTGAGCCGAAGGCAGTCGCTTAACCAACTGAGCCACCCAGACGCCCCGAATGGATCTTTTATCTGTATGATTTTGTAACATCATGCACTGGTTATTTCAAAAATATTGGTTTCTTTGTGTTATGCTGATCCTCCAAATGTTCACAGAATTCATTATACAATATCAAAACATCATATTTATTAATTGCACCACCGAGAGGAAAGTCTTTAAGTACTGGGAAGCTGTCAAGATCATAGTGGTAGGTACAAGTTTTCAAAAATTCTAATTTGTGCTTGAAAGCTCAATTTTACCCAAGAAATGCTATCAGCTGTTTTCCTTTAAGTGTGCACCTTGTTCAGTTTTGAGGAAATGTCTGCCAAATAACCAAGACTGAATCACTCACTATGTGTAGCAAACAGACTCTCAAGTGGCCTCAATGATTCCCACCCCCTGGTGTTCATGTCCTGCATGATTCCCTCCCTTTAGTGTAGGCAAGACATGTGACTTGCTTTTAACCAACAGAATACAGCAAAGGTAACAGGATATACATGATTTTGTGTACGGGACTACATTACATAAGATCATAAGGCCATTCTGCCAAGGATTTTCTCTATTGTGGGCTTTGAGCAAATAAGCCATGTGGGAAAGACCCACTTGGCAAAGCCAGAGATTCTCAGTCTGACAACTGTTAAGAAACTGAATGTTGCCAATTACCATGAGAACTTGGAAGCAGATACTTCTCCAGTCAAGCTTCAGATGAGACTGCAACCTCAGAGTCCACACCTTGAATGTAGCCTTTTGAGACCCCGAAGCAGAGGATCCAGCTAAGCCATGACCTGACTCCTGACCCATAGAAACTATGCGATAATATGTGTGGTTTTAAACCATTGTTTGTGGTAATACTGATACACAAAAATAATACACCATGGTTTATCAGTCATTCTTTCAAGTAAAAGTAGTCTTCTATTTTTAAAAAGTGGGTGGGTTAGGTCACATTTCAATCACACAAGTGCTTTTCCTCAAGATAACCATTAAACTTCAGACACAAAAGTGCTTTTGCATACTATCCACTTCATCACACAAAATATTTTTAAAAGACACATATTCAAAGGTAGAGATCTAACAAAATAACATGTAAATACTTCATCAAGGAAATCAAGTATGAATATATTTTACTGGGAGTGCATGGTGGGGATGAATACAAAAACTACTCATACTTGGTACCACTGTCTTGATTTATACTAAGGCACCAGCAGTTTACCCAATATTACTTTTGAATCACCAATGAATATGTCAACGTGGCGGAAAAGGCAAATAGTGTCTTTGTATTATTATGACATTAGTATTGACTCCCAAACCCATGAAAGAGTCTCAGGGGAACCCCAGGGGACTGAAGACTACACACTGAAAACTGCTGCACTAAGGCAATGGTTCCATTTTAAGTATATATTTATATATAACATATACATATATATGTATGTAAATACATATAAACTAGGGGTTAGTCTGGATTGAAATCCCAGATCTATCATTTTGCCAGCTGTGTGACCTTGAATGAATAATTTAACCTCTGTGAGCCTGAATTTCCTCAACTATAAAACAGGAATAATAGTAATAGTGCATACTTCACAGGGACAGTTAAGAATTAAATGATTAATTCATGTATAGCATTTAGAACAAAGCCTTACACATAAATATCAACTTAATAAATATTAACTATTACCATTAACTATTACCATTTGTTAAGAGTTTTTTAAACTAAATTATGAAGATACATTTTCAGAATAAAAATCTACGATGTCCTCTCAAAAGTTTTTCCAATTAAAAACCAAGAACAACTGACCCAATTTACAATCTTAAATAATTTTCCATTATGCAATATTCATTATGCTTTTATTCATGTTTTGTAACACAATTTTCAATACTTTACCTATTTAATTTAAGCATGTCACCTGATTTAGGAACCGGCTCCATGGTAGTTCCTGTAGTTATTACTCTGGGTACTGGCTAAGCTATCATAAAGATGGTGACATTTTCTGATGCTAATTATGCTTCTATTGAATGACTACCCATGACAATCCAGAATTTTAATTGGTATTGTTTATACTGATAAGTAATATCCAATGTATCCCTGAGCTGTGTAGTTTCAGAAACACTTACAGGTTTAGACAAAGGCTGAACAATAATAGAACTATCTGAAGATCTAGATTCAGGATGAAAATTTACTGGCGAGGCAGCCACTGGATTTGATGTTGGGTTCGTGTAGTGTTGACTTGTAGGCTTGAATGCAGCAGTAATACCTGTATTTAAAATTATATAATACATTAAATATATTTTTATATAACCAATGATGTCAAAATACTTCACTTTAAAAGTAAAATAGTAAAGCAATACCATACCTCGACTGAGTGCACCATTCTTTATTCCCCTTGAATATGAGCTGGGGTTTACTCTATTCAAAATATCTACAAAAAATTATATTTATTTTAAAATTCATTATTTGAATAAAATATATGTTAAGAAAATAGAAATCATGAATTGAAAACCATCAAACAGATTCCTGGAAAGAGTATATGAGTTGTCACTCAAAATACAGTTAATTTTAAACATATATATCTTTATCTACTAAAGATTACTAGCCTTGTTTTAATAGAATAAGAACAACCTAACTGTAACTCAAAATCCAAAAGCCAGAAGTAGAAGATTGGTAAATCTGACTACATGTAAGTCAAATTTTCTACAAAGCTTCTTTTATGGCAAAGAAATAGTTCACATAATTAGTAAAAATCTTCCAAAAATATATGTATATATAACCTATAATTAATGTATATATCTTTCTTTGAGTGATGACAGGGCTATATCCACTCAGGTTCCTATCACTCAAAACCAAACCCCTATCCAACCTCCATATCCCATTCACACCTTCCTTGGAAGTATCGTTATGAGGGATCTCACTGGATTATCTGCAGCATTAATTTTGAGTCCTGAAAGGGAAAAACTAGCAGAGATTGCAGACTAAAATTAACAGTTTATCAGAGTACCTTATAACTTAAGGGGTTTCAAATCTACCAGTATACCAGAAGTCAATCTGAGCCTGATAGAACTTTCAGGATCACTTTAAAGTCCCTGATTCTGGCATGCACGTGAACTTCTGCAACTTCTAGATTATTTGCTAGTCAAACTAAAATTGGGAAGAGTGGGGATTTGCCAAAAATCGCTGGTTACAAAAAGGTAAAAGCACAAACAAGTACAAACCTCATAAAAATTTCCTTTTTCCCTCATAGTAAAAAAGAACCAGATCCCATAAAATAACTCTATGAAGTACAGGGCCACACAATAGTAGGGTTGTTTTCTGACAATGGCAATGCAGTGCTCTATACCTAAGCATTACCTATGTCTCATAGAACAAAAACCTGCTCAAACAACTTGACACCATTTTCACTCAGAAATTCAAGATTATTACTCAAACCATCAAAGAACTATTGGCCAAAGTACTTTTTAGTGGCTGTATTCTACAAAACACAAGTTTTTACCCTCCTTTCTAGCAGTTCTATACAAACACTTAACCCATATTCCATATATTAAAATGTTTTATGGCTTACACAAAAACAACAATAAATTCATTTAAATTCTGCATAAGAGTCCAGAAAATAATTTTTACTGGGGTCAGTCTCCGTTTTGATAGAATTATTTTAAAACTAATATGCACTGTTCTAGTTGAATACTGTTAACATCTTCTACTTGGTATAATTCAATTTGATCTTAACTTATTTTTTTCAATAAGATAATATGAATAACTATTTTATAATATGGTAATATTCCATTATAAAATGATCGCAACGACTAGAAATAGTAATTAAGAGAATATATAATCATGTTCCACTATCATCAAAAAGCATGCCATCATGCCTAGTTCAATTTATAATCAAAGTGGCACTCCATTTAGAACCTAAGAGATTACCAATCTGCCACAGGAAATGGTATTGAGAATTTAATTTAAGTGATCCTCCCTCTGATAAAACTGAATAAAAATGCCATTCCAAGTTCAGAGGAAAAAGAAGAAAGAACCAAGCTTTCAGAAGATTTAAATGTAGTGTCTTAATCATACTTTTAAGCACTGCCTTGATAAGAAAACTCTATTATGCTGGTCATATTCTTTGGTAAATTCACCTGGTTTAAACAAGCAAACAAATAAACATGTACCTGCAATTGGAAATTATCTATTTTCTCTTTCTGCCCTAACATTTGTATGTTATTTCTCTGTACTTTTTTACATTTTTGAGTGGACATTTTAATAAGTGTCATTGGTCTTTGCTTTGTAGCATTCTAACAACATCAAATCCAACTACTCTAACTAAAATCTAATAATCCACAAAGGTACCAAAATATTCTGCTAGAAAGCCATAAAAAAGATTTAAGTATTAACTAATTGCTACATCATCCAAGTACATGGCTGTAGACAGTGTTCTTCTATTTGATAAATATAAATGAGAGCTGGTAGAAGATGAATGTGGTCAGAAGCTGCAGCCCCTGTTGGCACACAGGTTAGAGACTGCAATTATTCTCTGCCTATATATTTTGTAGCAATGTATGATGACATTGTAGTTGCCTGAATGTGAGAACCCCTGTCTGAGACTGAAACTTATTTAGTATACTATGACATTTGAAGAAAAGTATTCGAACCTCTTCCAGTTCTCTAATTCTGGGTTTAAGTGGAGGGAAAAAAAAGATAAACAGATAAACAGGTTACTTGGCTCCACTAAAAATTAGGATTTCCAATTTCAAAAGACCTCCCATGTTACCAGCTAATCTTAGACTATTCTTTTCCTCACATCTGATATTTTAACCTTTTATTTCCCTCCTCAAGTCCTCAATCATGTCCTCACCCTGATTCTATAATTCTCACTCACCTCTCACCAAATCTTTCATCTCTAACTCCTTACAGAGGAACAAGGACATGAGTACCTTATAAGGCAGTTCACAAGTTTTTCCATTAGAAACAGTATTTCATAAAAATTGGCTCCACTAAAAGTAAATGCTTACTTGAAATTGCTGGTTTTGAACTTGTTATCTCTCCAACAAAGATTGGCTCATCATCATCATCATCCTCAACCTCTTTTACTTTCTTCTGCCATGGTTCTAACTCTTCTTCTTCACATTCCATAAAGAGTTCTGCCATTTTTGAATTATCTAATTTTCAAAAGGAGAGAAGCAAACCTTATTTTCAAAAAAAAAAAAGTAAATACATTTTTTAAAAATTCACAGTATATTTAAGATCTATTTTAATAGCCCTAACAGCAATTTGTGACTTGATATTTGTAGTTAGTTCATGGCAGCAACAGTGAGAAACTCAGAGCTCATTCTCTAAGACATAAACTAATGAATTTAGATAAATAGATAATGGTTGACAGTAGTCATTTACATGAAACAGTCAAAATGAATTCCAGTCATATGCCTGGAGTATAATTTTATCTACAAAAAGGATTGCACCTAACCATTATCTTGGGGGAAAAAGTATTAACAAAGGGGAGATAAACTAAGAAGAAGAGGTAACTCACAGGAGATATACTAGAAAAACTGAACCAAATTCAGGCATTCCAGGCACAAAGCAGGGATAAGGCGCTGGACTAAAATAAGGGAACAAATTGAGACTTACTCTATTCAGGGCAAATTAGACATTTCTTACCTAAAGAAACAGATCAAAAAACGTGGAATAAATATGAACATACACCACCCTAGAAGTTCTGACCAAGCACAGAGCTCCTAGGTAGAATTTTAGTACCTCACTCTTAAATATTAATGGACAATCAAAAAGTACCAGAAATTTCAGGAAAACCTCCAGTCTTTTAGACCAAATCAATAAAAAGATAAAGAATTCTAAGGAAAAGAGATAATGCAGAGAGCGAGAAAAATATTAGAGAAAATATAATTAGCATCTTTAGAGATATTAGATAAGAATTTTATAAAAATATTCAGGAAAAAAATCAGATTAAAAATATCATAGCCAAAATTTTTTAATTCAGTTTTTTTAAAAAATCATAATGTCCCCAGAGGTGGAGCTAAGAGAAAAAGAGAAAAATACACACACACACACACACACACACACTAAATAGAGAAGAAAACACAAGGTTGTCAGAGAAAATCAATTTCAAAGTACAACATTCACCTAATAAAATTTACAGAAAGAGAACAGAGAAAAAGCAGGGAGTAGGTTATCTGAGAAATAATACAGAAAAATTTCCTAGATTGGAAAACGTAAATCTCCGGGTTGTAAGGCCTCACTAGGTACACAGCACAATGATCAAGAAAAAAGTTATATCAAGACACATCATCATGAAATTTCAGAACAAAAGAGATAAAGAGAATATCTAAGATCTATGGGGCGGGTGGGGATTGGGGTGGGTGGAAAGAACCGTTCATACTCAAAAGGTCAATAAGAATAAGAACTATATTATAATACTTTAGTAGAAGACAGTAAGTAATAATTCAGTAATTTCTAACCAATATTATTTTTCAATCTAGAATTCTTTACCCAAACTTTTCATCAAGTGTGAAAATAAAGAAGAGCAACATCACACAAGATTTACTTCCCACGTAACCCTTCTCAGGAAGTTACTACAGAATCCATAAAAATATGAGACTTAACCAAGATAGAAGACACAGCATGTAGAAAACACGGTATTCAATACAAAGTCCCAGGACAATGGTTTTCAGCAGACCCAGAAAACAACCAGTCCAGACTAGATTGGAATAGTACTTCAGGAGGAAATGTCTCTGGGACACCAAAGAAAAGATGATTAAAATGTAAATTTTTAGACTACCTGACAAGTTCTACTGTGTAGAAAGCTGAATTGAGAGGCTACTGAAGAGTATGGGAAGGCGTGCCTATAGATTTTTATACAACTTAGCAAATGAAAATACATGAAAAGCATTAATAGCTAGATACATGAGAAAGAAAGAAAGAAAGGAAGAAAGGAAGGAAGGAGGGAGGGAAGGAAGAGTAAATGTATGTATTCTATGTATAATAGCATATTAAAAGCATATTACCATGCTCATCAGTGAACAGCATTTATTATAGTCATCATAATAAAACATCAACTATGGATTAAACCAAATATTGAGATAATAATTATACTAGGAGATACTTGGAGGAAAGGAAGGGCTAGCTCTAAGAAAGCAAAAATTCTCATGACAGATTATTAGAAAGTGGTTAAAACTGATTATGCAACAGACAGCACAACATATATGCACATATGAACATAAGCACTCTTCAAGAAACTGGTTAAGCTATTTAAAGTCTTTTCAGATGGTCTGACTCTTTAAACTATGTGCATATATTCCTTTAAGTGGAAATGGAGAAAAAAGAGAAGGTGAAGGGAGAAGGTGAAGAGAAACAGTACTGAGGACCTAAAGTAATAAGAGTGGAGATGGACATAAGTGGATATAACTAAATATATGGAATGAGATGGGGGGTGGTCTACCAAAAAAAACCCCAACAAACAAAAAACAACAACAAAAAAACGCTCCAGGGTTCTGGCTTTGACAATATCTTTCATTTATCATTTAAATATAGTCATTTCTAAGGGTAATTTTTTATTATATTAGAGTAATGCCACTTCTACTTTTGACTCAAAATTAGGACAATGTTCTACCACCTCTTAAAAGATACTAACTAAAACAATGCTTTGGGGATGGCATACCATGGATGGTATGGGAATGGAAATACCACATCAAATTAAGAACCATTTTTCTATAAATTTTTAAATTTTTTCCTTTCTATAAAAGTGTGTCACAAATTATTTCCCGTCTTAACATTATTTAAATGTTAATAGTCCACCTACCAAAACAAAAAAGGCCTTCCCATTTTCCCAAATGTCATGAACATCATGAACTGATCCCTTTCTTTTCTATACTATACTGTTTCATTAATTATATAGAATTCTTCAAGTCAAATGATTAAAAATATTATATGTCCCAAGACCAAACTGAGCTCTTTGAGTTTATTTCCTCCTACACGCTAGATAGGCAGTAGGTACACAGTACATAATAATTTATGGACTAGGAAACTAAGCAGTCAGGCAATGCCTAATTTTTAAAAATTAGGGAAACTCATTGTATATGGATAATAAAAGTTTCCAATCAGTTTGTGTTATGGGCTGAACTGTGTTTTTCCAATATTCATATGTTAAAGTCCTCACCATCAGTACCTCACAATATTACTGTATTTGGAGACAGGGTCTTTAAAGAGGTGATGGGGCGCCTGGGTGGCTCAGTTGGTTGAGTGACTGCCTTCGGCTCAGGTCATGATCCTGGAGCCCGGGATCGAGTCCCACATCAGGCTCCCTGCTCAGCAGGGAGTCTGCTTCTCCCTCTGACCCTCCTCCCTCTCATGCTCTCTGTCTCTCATTGTCTCTCTCGCAAATAAATAAAATCTTAAAAAAAAAAAAATAAAGAGGTGATGAAGTTAAAATGAAGTTACTAGCGTGGGCGCTAATTCAAAATGACTGGTGCCCTTAAAAGAGGAGATCAGGACATGGATACATGATTGGAGGTAAGACCACCTAAAGACATAGGAAGCATATGGGCATCTATAAGCCAAGGAGAGAGGCCTGGTACAGATCCTTCCTTCATGGCCCTCAAAAGGAATCAAGTCTTTGAGTTGATTCTTATGAGACCAACACTTTGATCTCATACTTCTAGCCCCCAGAACCATGAGAAATTCTGAAGTAAATTTCTGTTGTTTAAGCTATCCAGTCTATGGTTCTTGGTTATATAAGCCCTAGCAAACAATACAGAAGACAAAGGTCTTCCTCATTCTTCTTAAGAGGGCACTGCCATTGTCAATACACCCAGGATAGATTGTTAAGAAAAAAAAATTTAAAGACATATAACAGCTTTATGTATTTTAGAAATAATTATTTTTTGTCTATGCATAAAAGAAACATAGGTAATTGTGTACACCAAACTAAGTTATCACTGGGCATAAGAAGAAAAAAAGCTTCATTTCTACTTTACTCACTTCTTAATTTATATTATTTGTTATGTGAGCATTTGTTACTCTAACAACTTTAAGTTCTTCTGTCTGTAAGAAAATGTGCCTACCTCTCCTCCTTTATACTGAAGCAAATTTATCAGTTCAAAAGCCACGTATACCAGTAGCAGTTGTGGCAGCAAAACTTACTTTTTGGCTGAAAAGGGTTGTCGCCCATCAAGTTGCAGAGTTGACTTTCTGTAAATTGTCACCTAAGTACTGACACATGATATCAGTCAATTTTATGAGTCACTTTAAGTAATGCCAAATATTGAAACATGAAACTCGGGGTTCAGAAATTCTTGGATCTAATTTTGATCTTGAAACTCACCATGTGACTCCAGACAAAAGAGCAATTTATATCTCAGTTTTCCTTCCTATAAAATAAAGATACCTAGTATTAGAGTGGATCTCATTAAATTAAATGTACATATACTTAATCTTTTTTCCTATGAAAAGTTCAATTTTTAAGTTTGATATGTCTGACATACACTTGCAACTCACTTTATATAATTGGTTCATTCTTGAACGAACCTAAATTTAGTAAATAAAATGGTGATTCTATTAAGCACTTACTACTTGAAGAAGTCTGAATTATTAACCTACAAATAATTTCTTAAAGTTATCCTTTTATAAAAATGAGTAATCACTTCACGATGTATTGTTTTAGTAAGTCTGAATTTTCAAATACAAAGGGATATACTAATCTTTAACTGTAACCTATTCACATTTCATATATAAATGTAATTATTTCCACAAGAAAACATAACTTTATTTTTTAATATTTAATTCATTCATTCATTCATTTATTTTTAAATCAGAAAGAGAGAGTGAGCACAAGCAGGAGTGGCAGGCAGAGGGAGAAGAAGGCTCCCCGCTGAGCAAGGAGCCCGATGTGGGACTCGATCCCAGGACCCCGGGATCATGACCTGAGCCGCAGGGAGCTGCTTAACCGGCTAAGCCGCCCAGGCATCCCAAGAAAACATAACTTTAAACAAATTTTAGTTTAGGGGCGCCTGGGTGGCTCAGTCATTAAGCGTCTGCCTTCGGCTCACGTCATGATCCCGGGGTCCTGGGATCAAGCCCCGCATTGGGCTCCATGCTCAGTGGGGAACCTGCTTCTCCCTCTCCCACTCCCCCTGCTTGTGTTCCCTCTCTCGCTGTCTCTGTCAAACAAATAAATAAAATCTTAAAAATAAATAAATAAAAATAAATTTTAGTTTATATATTTCTGATTTTTTATCAAAGACCTTAAAAAGGAAAGAAAAGTAATTGGACATATTTCATCACAGATTAATTCATTCATAAATAACTACTCTTTCGGTGCCTGGCTGGCTCAGTCAGAAAAGCATATGACTCTTGTTCTCAGGTCGTGGGTTTGAGGCCCAGGTTGGGTGCAGAGATTACTAAAAAATATAAAAATAATAACTACTCATTGCCTTCTGAATGCAAGATGATGTGCTAAGTTCTAGGGAAAAAAAAAATGAGTAAGTCATAGTCCTTGCCTTCAGAAATTTATAATCTAGTATATCTATATTTCTTTGGGATTGAAAAATGATTGCTATTAGAATAAAAATTATCAAAAAGAAATTTTCATTTATTTAAAACAAGAATTATTCTGGATTCCCACACACACAACAGCATAAATTTTAAAAAATTTACAAATTTTAAAATAAGTTTTAGTTATAAAGCAAAAAAAGATAAAAACTAGACAGCAGACACCTAAAATACTAAAATGCACACTAATTCAATCTTTGTATTTCTCCTTATCCTCAGGCTGACACAAGCAAATTTTCTTGCTTTTTAGGTTCCAATTTATTTGGACTGCATTAATCCACAGGGAAAAATAACTATTATTTTAACTTCAGAAGTTACTGTTATAAATGTTTTAACTACTATCACAAGAGACTCTAATGAATCTTTTTTTTAAAGATTCATTTATTTATTTGAGAGGGAGAACACAAGCGGAGGGAGGTGCAGAAAAGGAGAGAGAATCCTCAAGCAGACACCCTGCTGAGTGCAGAGCCCCACATGGGACTCAATCCCATGACCCCAGATCATGACCTGAGCCAAAATCAAAAGTTGGATGCTTAACCTACTGAGCCACCCATGCACCAAGACTCTACTGAATCTTGTGTTTAACTGAATTCACCAAGTTCTGAAGTCTATTTAAATCTCATTAACTCGGGGTGCCTGGGTGGCTCAGTCGTCAAGCATCTGCCTTCGGTTCAGGTCATGATCCCGGGGTCCTGGGATTGAGCCCCGCATCGGGCTCCCTGCTCGGCGGGAGGCCTGCTTCTCCCTCTTCCACCCCCTCTGCTTGTGTTCCCTCTCTCACTGTGTCTCTGTCAAATAAATAAATAAATAAATAAATCTTTAATAAATAAATAAATCTCATTAACTCAATTATTTGAATAGTTGTAGCTTATCTCTAAACTAATATCAGTGTTATGACTTTGTCAAGGAGATAAATACATGACAATTTTTGCTCATGTTAAGGACCTACTTGTTACCAAGAATACAGAATATTTTTCAAGAGCCACAATTACACAGCTTATGAGACTCATATGTAATATTTTTTTATTTGAATAGTTATTGGGTTATAATAATGGTTATACTGAATATTAAATAGTTGACATATATATAATATTTTTTGCTAAGTGATCATATAAATATCTCTTACCAAAACTCTGAAATTAGTATTCAATTTACAAATATTCAATTAATGAATGACTTATCTATATGAACAGACATCTACTGCCTATTATGATAGAGATGAGTTTAAGATAACCTACTTCAAAAGCTTAAGGACCACAGTAACCTACTTAGAAACCTCAACTGATACAGTCTCAAACACACTATAAAGCTGGAAATCCTCAGATGTAATTAGAACCATAATTTCAGCCAAAAGCTGCACTATGTAATATAGTAGCCATTAGCCACATGAGACTATTTACGTTTAAATTAATTAAAATTAAATAAAATTAAAATTCAGTTCCTCAGTTTTACTAGCCACATTTCAAATGCTCAAAGCCACATGTGACTGGTGGCTACTGTATTGGACAGAACAGCTACAGAACATTTCTACTGGACAACACTGGACTAAAGAATCACTGCCATATTTTGTTCTGGTTATTAAACACTTTCATGGATTCCTTTGGCATCTCTGCCACTGAAGCATGCCAAAATTACCACCATAAAAACCTCTCCGGTCACCACTTCAGAATTTTGGTGGAAAGGCACAGATTCTATGAAGGATTAAATCAGCTGCCACTGAAGTGGAATATCCAGCAAAGATATGCAGTGAGGATCTCAAAGTTCCAAAACGTTCTAATAGCTTCTACAGCTCACACTGAGCCCCAAAATGGCCAGAAAAAGAGAACACTCAATTTCAGCTACTGACTCATTTCATGACCATGTTTAATACACTTGTTTCTATGAAGAAAAACATGAAATCCAATTAACTGACTAATCAAAGACTTTTTAGAAAATAATTCTTTCACTGTTGGAGACTGCTCATATAAATAATTTTAATTCCTATCTTACTATTTTTTGTTTCAGCTTTTATATATCTAAAATTAAACAATATCTTAAATAATTTTTATACAGAAATTTTAAAAATCGATGGAAATGTAGGTCTAAATTTTTAATTGCTTGAAAAATTTACTTTTATCCATTGAGAGGTCTCACCCAATACAGTATCACTGTGTTAAATAAAGGTAATGCATTTGATCTGGTACATAAGCACACAGTATGGCACAGGTGTGCTATGTACTAGATATAGTTCTATTTACTTTCTGATAAAGATTAAGCAATTTCACAAACCATAACTGTAGAGTCTGCACATAAAAAAAGAAGAGCATTAGGCTAGAAGCCAGAAGAACCAAGTCATAGCCCCAGCACTGCTACAACATTCAATCAAATCACGTTACAATTCTGGGTCTCAGCTCTTAGGTCAACTAATAATCTCTACCGCTTAATTTAGCTCTATACTGTATACTTTAAACATTTATTAATAATAAACAGTAAAACATGGTGAAGAATGAATGCCACATTCAAATTCTGATTCAACCATTTATTATCTGGATGACCTTGGGAAAGTTAATCTCTGTGCCTTGCTTTACTATATGTAACTTATTTCATAAAGTTATAGTGAAGATTAAATTAGATAACAAACATAAAGCACAGAGCTCAGTGCCTGAGACACAGAAATCATCCAATAAATCTCAACAATTTTTAACTCTGTGCTTAATACCATTTTCAAGAACTCTAAGAACAGTTCACAATTTTGTTACTATACTAGAATTTACAAGCTATCAGATGAGCATTTAGAAATTATTTTGTTTTTTAAGATCTTCATTACAGTAGTATTTCACATGATGAAATGTTGGCTTTGTAAGTATACCTTCTAGAATGTAGCTGTCAAATCTATCCTACCATATTTTCATCTTTTTAAGAAGCATTTATAAACTAGTGAAAACACATAAAAAATTTTAAACCTTCATATAAACACACATACCTACAATTTATCAATACTGTTAAATTATATACTACTAGTCTCATAGAATAAAACAAGTAATTCAAAAATACCAACATACAAAAATTAGCATTTGGATAAAGTGCCTTATACCATTTCCATAAAAAAAAAAACATTCATTTTACATGCATCACTGTATTTTAATTTCTAAAAAAAATCCTTATTTTTATTTATTTTTTTTTTTAAGTTTTTATTTATTTGACAGAGAGAGAACACAAGTAGGCAGAGTGGCAAGCAGAGGGAGAGGGAGTAGGAGGCTCTCCGCTGAGCAGGGAGCCTGACACGGGGCTCGATCCCAGGACCCTGGGATCACGACCTGAGCCGAACGAAGGCAGCTACTTAACCGACTAAGCCACCTAGGTGGCCCTAAAAAAATCCTTTTTAAAACTGAGTAAGCCGGGGCGCCTGGGTGGCTCAGTCGTTGGGCGTCTGACTTCTGCTCAGGTCATGATCCCAGGGTCCTGGGAATAAGTCCCACATCAAGCTCCCTGCTCAGCGGGAAGCCTGGTTCTCCCTCTCCCCCTCCCCCTGCTTGTGTTCCCTCGCTGTGTCTCTCTCTGTCAAATAAATAAATAAAACCTTAAAAAAAAAACCAAAAACTGAGTAAGCAGCAAGTAAAATAAAAAAAATTTGAGGAATATGGTGAATGGTTAAATTCTCCATCTCCCCAGACCCCAAAAGTTATTCAATGAAATAATCTGAGAAACTGTATTAAAAAGTTAATCTCTGCTTTTTTTCTTTTTTCTTTTTTTTTTTTTTTTATTCATGAAAGTCAGAGAGAGAGAGAGAGGCAGAGGCAGAGGGAGAGAAGCAGGCTCCCCGCCCAGCAGGGAGCCCGAT